TCAGGTTCGAGTCACGCACGCAGTACGTATTTACTATAATTAGACATAGTCTTTACCTTGCCGTTTAATCGGTGTTATTTGCTTACTTTACTTCCTATGTCGACAGCAACTATGAGTCTAGTTGAGACCACACAGTCCCAGTCCAAGTTGAAAACAGTCCCAGTTGAGACCACACAGTCCCAGTCCCGGTTGAGACCGAGACCAGTTCCAGTCCCGGCTGAGACCGAGACCAGTTCCAGTCCCGGCTGAGACCGAGACCAGACCCAGTCCCGGTTGAGACCGAGACCAGTCCCAGTCCCGGTTGAGATCGAGACCAGTCCCAGTCCCGGTTGAGATCGAGACCAGTCCCAGTCCCGGTTGAGACCAGTCCCAGTCCCGGTTGAGACCAGTCCCAGTCCCGGTTGAGACCAGTCCCAGTCCCGGTTCAGACCAGTCCCAGTCCCGGTTCAGACCAGTCCCGGTTGAGACCAGTCCCAGTCCCGGTTGAGACCAGCCCCAGTCCCGGTTGAGAACAGTCCCAGTCCCGGTTGAGAACAGTCCCAGTCCCAGTTGAGAACAGTCCCAGTCCCGGTTGAGACCAGTCCCAGTCCCGGTTGAGACCAGTCCCAGTCCCGGTTGAGACCAGTCCCAGTTGAGACCAGTCCCAGTCCCAGTTGAGACCAGTCCCAGTCCCAGTTGAGGCCAGTCCCAGTCCCAGTCCCAGTTGAAACCAGTCCCAGTTGAGACTCCACAGACCCCACAATCCTAGTTGAGACCACACAGTCCCAGTTGAGAACAGTCTCAGTTGAAACCGAGACCAGTCCCAGTCCCAGTTGAGACCAGTCCCAGGTGAGACCACACAGTCCCAGTTGAGACCAGTCTCAGTTGAAACCAAGACCAGTCCCAGTTGAGACCAGTCCCAGTCGCGACCAGTACCAGATGACACAAGTTCCAGATGACACCAGTCTCAGTTGAGACCAGTACCAGATGATGGCTTCTGGTGGAAACAAAAGTACATATATAACAGAACAATAATTAGATAGGAAAATAATTTTGATTGACACCAAACCTGTTATAATCCTGGAAACTATTTACCTGTATCTGTGCGTGCGCATTGGTTCTATTATTTGGAGGTGTAGGACTACCTGGTGATGTAATTGTAACTGAAGGCCGCCGTGGTTTGGATGGTTCCTCATCTTCTTTCATCTTGCCAGAGTCATATCCACTAGATGCTATTAGAGAAAATACCAAATAACAAGTCAACTGAAACATTGAATGTAAAATATGTACAAGGTAGAATGATGTATCATAAAATAGATACAACTTTATTGTGTGTTAACATATTACCATGCCTCACTTCCACACCAGAATACAGGGACCCTTCTTGAATGATCTGTGGAGTTTGCTTTTCATTAACATTGAATTATTGAATTTCAGGTTCTCAATCAAATTTTGACATAGTTTTATTTATTATTTTGCAAACTAACATTCAGTGGGATGACTAGTTGTGAATTAAGTACACACCAAATGTGATAAATTTATGCAATTTCATCTTGATAATAAAACATCAGGCCACTCGTGCTGCCGCCTTACCTGAGGTAAAATATTTGCAAAACACTTGAAAAAACAAAACATGTAACTATGTTAGCAAAATATCTGACTTGGATACACTAAAGGTACAAAATGTATGTGAAGAACAAAGTGGCTTGCATGAACTAAATATTTCAAGTGTGAAAGTTTAAATGAAATTATTTAGCATTTCTACTTTTAATTTTGTTATGTGTATATACCGGATTCCATGATAAATCAGCCTTAATGGCTACATAGATGAGAGTATACTGGAATTATCATGAATGACAAGCTGTCTTTGAATCTAATTGGCCAATGCAATTAAAAGCTCAGAACATATTTTTTGTCACTGAAATTAAAGAAACCAAATAGCAATGTTTGCTACTATACACCATATTATGTTTCTTTCTTCAGAATTTATAGAATAATTAGTTGATCAACGTCTCAAAGTCGAAGCAAAATTGAACAAAAATTATGATATATGAATATATACATTGCATACTTTTAGTTCCATTAAAACACAGTCTCATCCAATCACAGTATGCTGCACAGGTCCAAGTGTGAAAAATTTGATAATAATTTTCGCATAATGTTTTGTATATTTTTTCAAACATTTTTATCAACACATGTAGTCAAAAAAGAATTACGGCAATTTGATCTGAAATTAACTAATTGAAGTAAAATAATTAAAACAGTTGGCTTGATAAAGTACAATGATTTGATGCTATGTGGCAAAAAAGTTGATGGAAAAAACTTTACAGGGAATAATATACTCAGAAAATGATCCAAATGACATTTTTCATAAAAGTTTCCCCAAATTTTAAAATATTTATCCAGGATGTTATGACAGAATCCGGCAGTGAAATGATGCAAGTTATTGTCCTTAATGCAATGAATACAATAACAGTGCATGGCAGGCAGTTTGTTTTAAATAACAATGGTGATGTAAATACATGCTATCAAAATTTATATAATGGCATTTATTGAATTGCAGCAAAAACAATGGTTGTGCCGTTTAATGGCAATGATTAGTCTCTTACTAGGCATATCCACTTCTCATTTCATGTATAATACATTATCAAATACTTTCATAAGAAATTGCCAATTTATTCCAAACATATATCATGAAATGGCAAGTTATTCATAGTAAGAGAGCTCACAAAAATATTGTGGTACATATATAATAAAAAACCTGCAGTACATGGCCATTCAGTGTGTGCAGTAGAAATATGGCCAGTCAGTGTGTGCAGTAGAAATATGGCCAGTCAGTGTGTGCAGTAGAAATATAGTAAGTCAGTGTGTGCAGTAGAAATATGGTCAGTCAGTGTGTGCAGTAGAAATATAGTAAGTCAGTGTGTGCAGTAGAAATATGGTCAGTCAGTGTGTGCAGTAGAAATATAGTAAGTCAGTGTGTGCAGTAGAAATATAGTAAGTCAGTGTGTGCAGTGGAAATATGGCCAGTCAGTGTGTGCAGTAGAAATATGGTCAGTCAGTGTGCGGAGTAGAAATATAGTAAGTCAGTGTGTGCAGTAAAAATATAGTAAGTCAGTGTGTGCAGTAGAAATATAGTAAGTCAGTGTGTACAGTAGAAATATAGTAAGTCAGTGTGTGCAGTGGAAATATGGCCAGTCAGTGTGTGCAGTAAAAATATGGCCAGTCAGTGTGTGCAGTAGAAATATGGCCAGTCAGTGTGTGCAGTAGAAATATGGCCAGTCAGTGTGTGCAGTAGAAATATGGTCAGTCAGTGTGTGCAGTAGAAATATGGTCAGTCAGGGTGTGCAGTAGAAATATGGTCAGTCAGTGTGTGCAGAATATGGCCAGTCAGTGTGTGCAGTAGAAATATGGTCAACCAGTGTGTGCAGTAGAAATATGGTCAGTCAGTGTGTGCAGTAGAAATATGGTCAGTCAGTGTGTTCAGTAGAAATATGGTCAGTCAGTGTGTTCAGTAGAAATATGGCCAGTCAGTGTGTGCATTAGAAATATAGTCAGTCAGTGTGTGCAGTAGAAATATGGCCAGTCAGTGGGTGCAGTGGAAATATGGTCAGTCAGTGTGTGCAGTAGAAATATAGCAAGTCAGTGTGTGCATTAGAAATATAGTCAGTCAGTGTGTGCAGTAGAAATATAGTAAGTCAGTGTGTTCAGTAGAAATATGGCCAGTCAGTGTGTGCAGTGGAAATATGGCCAGTCAGTGTGTGCAGTAGAAATATGGCCAGTCAGTGTGTGCAGTGGAAATATGGTCAGTCAGTGTGTGCAGTAGAAATATAGCAAGTCAGTGTGTGCATTAGAAATATAGTCAGTCAGTGTGTGCAGTAGAAATATAGTAAGTCAGTGTGTGCAGTAGAAATATGGCCAGTCAGTGTGTGCAGTAGAAATATGGCCAGGCAGTGTGTGCAGTAGAAATATGGCCAGTCAGTGTGTGCAGTAGAAATATGGCAGTCAGTGTGTGCAGTAGACATATGGCAGTCAGTGTGTGCAGTAGAAATATGGCCAGTCAGTGTGTGCAGTAGAAATATGGCCAGTCAGTGTGTGCAGTAGAAATATGGTCAGTCAGTGTGTGCAGTAGAAATATGGCCAGTCAGTGTATGCAGTAGAAATATGGCAGTCAGTGTGTATATTAGAAATATAGTCAGTCAGTGTGTGCAGTAGAAATATGGCCAGGCAGTGTGTGCAGTAGAAATATGGCCAGTCAGTGTGTGTAGTAGAAATATGGCAGTCAGTGTGTGCAGTAGACATATGGCAGTCAGTGTGTGCAGTAGAAATATGGCCAGTCAGTGTGTGCAGTAGAAATATGGCCAGTCAGTGTGTGCAGTAGAAATATGGTCAGTCAGTGTGTTCAGTAGAAATAT